CGAGACGTCTGGAGGGACGGCTATCCTATGTAAGGCACAGTTTGGCAGCAACGGCCACGGGCAGAGCTGCTGGTCTGAGAGGCTCTGCATGGTCAAGATCATGGTGCACCAGTCTTTCCCGTTCTTTTTTGTCTCAGTGTACGGCCACGCCACGCTTGGGCTCTCAGGCGCCAACATCACCTTCCTAGAGGAGCTCAGTGAAGCGGTGGCCGCGGCGGGCTGCCCGTTTGTCATCGGAGGTGACTGGAACATCGATGCTGAGCAGCTGATCGCATTCGAATGGGCAGATCACCTTGGGGCGACAGTGGTCAGGCCCCCAGGAGCGACGTGCCACCGCAATTGTTACGACCTTTTTTGTAGTCAGCCGCTGTCTTGAATATCATGTTAAGGAGTGCATTGAGCAGCCTGACGCGCCAGTTGGGCCGCATTCTGCAGTTGTGCTCCAACTTAGGCGGGTGGCTGGACAGGCCAAAGTGCGGCAGCGCGTGGCGCCTCGCAGTTCCCCGCTGCCCAAGGATGATGAGGAGAAGGCCCGCATGCAGTGGGACCCCAGCCAGCAGCCGCCCCTCTTTGATTGGGTTTCTCTCTCGCCCCACGCAGCGATGGAACAGTGGTTCGATGCTGCGGAGTCGGCGCTTGGCCGCATGCATGGGCTAGATGACAAGCAGTATTTTGGCCGAGCCAAGGGTTGCCAGGTTCAGTTAGTGCCGCTAGAAGCAGCGTGGGGTCAGGAGCTGCATAGGCGCTCCCTCCCTGGTACCCAACGTTGGTTGTCTTTGAGGCGTTTGACCTTGCAGTATATGAAGGCGGCGACTGACGGCCGACGGCGGCGCCTGCTAGATTCGGCCAGGCCACTGCAAGACCTGCTGGAGGAGGTTGAGGAACCTCTGCTAGCGCGACTGTCGGTGGCTGAACTTTTTCAGGGCCTGGGGGGTCCCTGTCGTGGGGGCTTCGTGAATGCCATTCAGCGTATAGTTGACGGTAGAGTGCAGCAGGAGACAGCGGAAGGCCGGAAGAAGTGGAGATCCTGGGCTCAGTCGTCGGTCGGTCGTGCAGGTCGGTCGGCCCCACAGGTACTCGAAAGGCCCCGCTCCGCCTCCTGTGCCAGTCCTTGGTGACGAGGATTTCACTGTGCAAGTAGGAGGCCCCAGGCCGCTTGTAGGACAGGCGGCACTCGATTGCATTCTGCGCGATTGGATCCCGATCTGGACCAACCCAGCGCGCGACGCTGAACGCCCCCCGAGTGGGTGGTCGGTCCCTGATGACCTGCCGCCGATCACGGCTGAACAAGTGCTGGGAGCGGCGGCGTCTTTCAGCCCCTCGACGGCCCTGGGCTGGGACTCCTTCAGTCCGCGTCTCATTCTTCAGCTCCCCAGGCCTCTGGTTGAAGCTTTTGCGGGGATCCTAACGGCTTGGGAGCGGCATCCTGGGGGGGGGGGCCTCTGGATAGTCTTGGTGGTCTTTCTAGACAAGCCCACGGGAGGGATGAGGCCCATAGGGCTGCTTCCCTTCTGGGCCAGAGTCTGGGGCCGCATTCGGCATGGGCCCTGTGCGGCCTGGGAACGAACGGTGGATGCGACATTTTTCTGGGGTCTCAGCTCGAGCACGGCTTGCGACAAGAGTGCGTGGGTCCACGATGCTCTGAACGCCTACGCGCGCACCGTCCCAGGTCTGTCCACGGCGACACTTCTTCTTGGCCTGCGCAAATTTTACGAGCATTTCGCGCGAAGAGTTGCTGACAGCGGCCCACGCTAGCTCATTTCCGATCGCGCTCCTGCGAGCGTACTGTTGCCTTTATCCAGGCCCGAGGCGAGTGACTTGGCGGGGCGCGATCAGTCGAGTGATCCAGCCGAACGGCACGGTCATTGCAGGCTGCTCGGGGGCCACCACGTTTGCCAGGCTGCTGTTGCTTGGGGCGCTGCGCAAGGCCATGGTTGGCAACCCGACAGTGTGCATAAAGAACGTCATTGACGACGTCTCGCTGCATGCAGTCGGTGGTGAGACAGTCGTCACGCGTGAGCTGGCAGCTTCGCTTCGGTCTGTGACGACGGACCTGCAGCGCATGGGCCTGCCCATTGCCATGAACAAGCTAGGCCTACTTGCTTCCTCCTCGGCGCTGGCACAGGAGTTGTCCAGGCAGTGCGATTTGCCTGCCGAGGTACGCGCCCAGGTTCACAGGGACCTTGGTGGGGACGCCACTGATGGCGCCAGGCGGCGTGTGAGCACCCAGCACGAGCGATTTGTGGAGTCCCAGCAAAAAGTGGCGAAGGTCCTCGCGCTTCGAGCGGCTGGGGCTCAGGGTGGCACAATTTTTAGGGCAGGCGTCGCGTCGAAGGCCCTCTGGGGAGCCAGCATCCAGGGCCTCCCCAATGGCAAGCTGAAACAAGTTCGGCTTGCAGCAGTTCGGGCGGAAGGGGGGGGCCCCAAAGGATGCTCCCTTGAGTTTGCCTCGATGTGTGTGTGTGTGAGAGGGGAGGTTGGGCTCGGGGTCCTTTGGTCATCCTAACGGCCGATGCTCTCCGCACCTACAGCCAGATCCTCAAGGATCGGCGCCTGGCACCTGTGGTGGTGCAGTCCCTTTCTTCCAGGGGCCAGGAGTTGCTTCAGTTGTCCAGGCCTTGGGCCCGTGTTCGAGACCCCATTGCGGCCCTCCTTCTCACGTGTTCTCGCGTGGGCTCTGTTTTTGAGGGCCCGTGGGCCCTGAAGGAGGCCACGGGGGAGGTTTGGGATCTTCGCCAGGTCTCCCCGGCGGTCCGGGCCAGGAGGGCCCGATTCGTTGCTAGGCGTTTCTCGGACAAGGAAGGATTGGCCAAGATCGACCGTGGTCAGGGCTGGTCTGGTGACATCTTTTGGCGGCCCTTGAACGAGCTTCTGCATAGACGCTGGAAGCTCGATGAGGACGACGGTGGGAGAGGCGGGCGGTGGGGGATTCGTGAGCAGAGGACTCTCAGAGGTCTCGTGATTGGCTCGCATTGGTGCCACGCGCGACTTCACAGGCATGACCCTGCCCTGCCGTCGCACTGTCTCATATGTGGGGAAGCTATCGGCAGCTTGTTACATCGTCATTTTGATTGCCCCGCTAGGCTAAGCTGGCGTCGAGGCAATCTGCCGCAGGACCTGGATGGCCCAGTGCAGCGTTTGCGGTTAGGGCCAGCGCACTTGCAAGAGAGGTTCGCCAGGGGGATCCTTCCCGACCCTTGCCAAGTTTTCTCCCGACCTGGGTGGAACCCTGAGTGGGAGTTCAAGGTTGAAGGACAAGCGGCGCCGCTGGCGCTGGATGGTGGCCATGTTTTGTGCGATGGCTCTGGGGTCGATGGTCTCTTCCCGTCCTTTAGGGTTGCCGGTTGGGGTGTGGCGGTTTTCGACCATGATCGCCGACCCCTGGCGGGGTGGCACGGGGCGGCCCCTTCCCACCACAAGGCCCCGACCAGGTAGCCAGAGACGGGGAGGATTACGCCATCCTGATGGCCTTGAGACATCTAGTAGGCAGGTGCACGATTCATTCCGATTGCAAAGGCACAGTTCAATTTTGTCAGAATGCCAGATATGCGCAGAGAGATGGCGACGCTCGGGCACACATCTGGAAGGAGGCATTCCGTGAAGGAACGCCCGCTCTGGTGAGTTTTTGTAGGGTGGCGGCCCACACGTCGATGACAGATGTGCGCGAAGGGCGGATCAGCCACTTTGAGAGGGAGGGCAATGCCGAAGCTGATCGACTTGCGAAGTTGGGTGCGGAGCTATGTCGTTGCCCGTCCAATGTGGTCATGATGTCCAAAGGCATGCCCCATGTCTCACGCCTGCTCCTTCAGTTCATTAGTAGGGCTGAAGGCCACTATGTGCAGGAAGGCAGGTGGGACAACGTTGGGGCCCAGGGGCTCACAGAGATCTCCCTGGAGGGGGGATCCGACTTTGAGGAGGCACTAGAGGAGGCGATGAGGAGGCAGGAGGAGGGCGGTGACGAGGTTGCTGCTGCTCCTGCTCCTCCTCCCGACGATCCTCCACCGCCCTCGAGGCCTCCATCTGAGCCCTTGGTGCCCGAGTTGCTGGCGCTGGCAGTGGATGCCCGCCAGACCCCTGCCTTCATTGGAGGGCGTGCTTTGCTTCAGTTCGCGGTTGAAGATAACAAGCCTCCCATCCTTTTTTGTTCGACCTGCGGGGGGTATGCCACGGTGTCTGCGGGATCCAGAGGCCTACGAAAGAGCTGTGGAGGGTCCCAGCAGGCCTTGGTGGACCCAGGCAGGAAGAACACTCGGGCTGTCTGCAAGGGCAAGCACCCCAACAGGCCTCTCAAACTGGGCTCTTGGCGAACTCCTGGGGCTTGGGCGCGAGAGCTGGTTGGGGGGGATTCGGAGTCCAAGAAGGCCCAGAAGAGAGAAGGAGGTTTCTCCAGGGCCACTTCGGACCCACCTGCACGTGCATTTTTGTGCCTGGCAGATGTCCTGCAAGCGTTTGGACTCAATGAGTTCGAAGCCGCTGAATTGGGACCGAAGCTGAAGGAGCGAGACCCAGACAAAGATCTGGAGGAAGAAGAACTGGGCGGTTAGATACCCAGAGGGGGGCCCTGTCGTTGGCCCCTGGCAGGTCTTTGGCCTTCCTGCCAGGGTGACAAAAAGTTCCCCTTTGATGGGCCCCCTGGGTTTTTTGGACCGTCGGACTTTCTCCCCCCCTTTCCCCTCAGTGGCGTGCGATCCTCCTTCTCCTCCTCCTCCTCCTCGCCCCCCCTCCCTCCTCTTCCCCCTCCTCCCTCCTCCTCCTCCTTCCTCCTCCTCTCCCTTCTCCTCCTCCTCCTCCTCTACCTTTTCCTCCTCCTCCTCCTCCTCCTCCTTCTCCTCACCATCACCAGCATCATCATCGTCATCGTCATCATCATCATCATCAACAACATCAACATCATCATCGTCATCATCAACATCATCATCAACATCATCATCATCATGATCATCTGTCCTCCGCTTTTGCCCCCCCCCCCTCCCCAATGCGCCGCGCGCCCTCGGGTGCAGGAGGGCGGCTACCACGCGTCGACGCCCCCGCCGCAAGCCGCCGCCCCGAGAAGGGTCACGCCTCCTCCCGCCGTCGCCTCGGCGCGGGGGAGCGCCGATCGATGTATGCAGTGAATGAATGATGCCGTTTCTGAACGACACATCGGCTGAAGAAGCGCACCCGGCTGGAGGCGCATGCCCAGGCCAGGGCACAACAAGCAAGGGCAGTTCAAACACAAGGCGTGGTGGTTATCGCTTCTCCGCCTTTCTGACACGCTGGTGGTTCCTCCTTCTCAACAATTCTGCCGGTTTGGGTTTAAGCGGCAAAACTCTGGATCGCCTCTTAAAACGTGCTAGTCCTGACTTGGGGGCCCCTGTTATACAGGGTGCCTTCATTCTTTCTCACCAACCCAACCGTGCTTGTACCTCTGGGGTCCCCATCCAGAGCGTGACCCCGCTTCTTCGGATACCTGCATGGTGGACTCACCTTATCCAATTTACCTTTGGGGTTTCTGATTCAAGACGTGGCCCCACTTTTAACAAATGCACAGCCACGGCATTTAACAACAGCAAGCGAACACCGTTTTTTTGCATACATACTTAGCCTGGACCCCTCCCCCTTTTTCTTACCCGTTGTTGCTGCTTGCCTACTCGGCCTCTCTCTATGCTTCCTGGCAAGCTATCACTCTCTGATCTTCTAGACTTAGGTGGGCTGGTTACGGGCGGATTGGTGGAGTAGTTGGCTGAGAAGTGGGTGACAGCACGGGTTGGGGCTAACCAGAAAAACCCTGGGCAACAATCCAAGAACTGCAGCGAGCGCAGACACCCGTCTACTGCTACAAGCATCTCTCAACAAAACGATGCCACCTTACAAGCCTGTACCACACGGACACTCGTCATTTTCTGTCGCACGTTTCTCCTCCCCTCTAGCTGCACTTCTGCAAGCCGTTACTTCCACAGGCTATGCCAGGCCAGCCCCGCCAGCCTACTCACATCTGCATGACCGTGCGCTCACAGCCAGCCGCTCTGACCTTTACAAGGTGCACTGGGGTTGTGTTCAACCCGAGAACTTACTTCAAAAAAGCACGGGGCGCCAGGTCCAAGTGGTTCGGGGCAAACCCAAACACCCGGGGTAGCAACCCGAGAATTGCCAAAGCCCGCAGCCACTCGCTTGCTTCACCGCACACCAGGCTGTTTACTTAGGGAATCCCTGACTGACAAGGAGCGTCCCCACCTCTTTACTTACGTCACAACCCAAATCAGATAGTCTCCAGACGCCTACTATGTTTTGCTTACTCTGTTATTGTGCCACCTGGCAAAGGCGGCGCCACAAGGCAAGCCGAGCTAATACTCGTCGGCCATACGTACATTTCTTGCTGCAGCAGTCTCCATGGCAGTACGATCGTGAACGCCTGTATCTCCACAGGCTATGACAGGCCAGCCCGTAGGGAGAGCCTACTACTTTTTTTCTACCTGACAGCGTGCAAGGCAGCCAACCACACTCTGACGCCTGGGACGGGACTCTTGAGGGAAGGGGGAAGAGGATACGACCACCCGTACATTCGTGCTGCAACACGTCTCCATTAGCCGTGCTATCTTGCAAGTTTGTATCTCCACAGGCTATGACAGGCCAGCCCGTAGGGAGAGCCTACTACTTTTTTCTACCTGACAGCGTGCAAGGCAGCCAACCACACTCTGACGCCTGGGACGGGACTCTTGAGAGAAGGGGGAAGAGGATACGACCACCCGTACATTCGTGCTGCAACACGTCTCCACTAGCCGTGCTATCTTGCAAGCCTGTATCTCCACAGGCTATGACAGGCCAGCCCGCAGGGCCAGTCTACTTTATTGTTGCTTGGCAGCGTGCAGCATAGTCAACCGCAATTTGGCTCTCGGGAGGAGGGCTAATAGTTGGCGTGGCAGCTCGCAGCACAGACAGCCCCATTTTGCGTTAGACAAAAAGCAACTGCTATTCTTACGACAGCCTCCTCCAACAGCACACCACATGCAAGCCCGTACCTACTGGCACGACGGGCCAGCCCTCAGGGCCAGCCTACAGTCACAGCGTGCCTGGCAGCGTGCGCAGCTCAGCCAGCCTCACTCTAACCTCGGGAGGGGGATGGGCTGGTTATTATGTAGCGGGGGTGTCATGGCGGGAATGATGCACCAGAATTGGGGTCAACCTTAAACCCTGGGCTGCAACCCTGAAACTGCACGTTTTCAGTTTCGCATCTTAACTTGCCGAGACGGTAACTCACCATTAATCAAGGGGGGCCCTACTATCTAGGTACTATCCATTAAGGTGTGTGTCGCTCTCTACCTGGCGGGCGCCTACTCTCTGTTCTGTCCCTGTCCTGGGCTCATGGTCTCTCAATTTCCGCGGCGCCCACCAAGTACAGTGACCCGAGTCGGATTTATTTGCTTAAAACACCTGCAAGAACGCGACATGCTGGTTTCTCACATAGGTCGAATAAAACGGAGGAAGAGGAAGAGAAGGAGGAGGAGAATTGGAGGAGGAGGAGGAGGAGGACAGCGAGGAGGAGAGCGGATCATATGATGTGTCATTCTTCGAACAATTACCCTGCGACGTACCCAATCCTTGTAAAACATGTGGCACCTATACCCAGGACCGTTCAATCCGAACAAACATGTTGAATGATCCGCAGTGCGCAGGAGCAACCCTCCGAGGGCTGGGAGACAAGAGGTCTCGGCTGGGGCTGCATATCCCTCCTGTCCGCTGGAACCCCCAAAAGCCCACGAACGTAGCGACGGTTGCGCAGTCCCGCAAGGAACTGCGATGTCTCGCCTGGGTGCGCGTGTCCCTCCATTCCGCCAGACTTCCCAGGACCAAACGAACTCGCAACCCCCCAGGGAGCCGCGACGTCACGTCTGGGTGCACGTGTGCCTCCACTCCGCTGGACCTCCTGGGCGCCCACAAACGTGGCGACGGTTGCGCACTCGCAGCCACTCAGGGAACAGCGCAGGAAGAGGGGATAGGCGGGAGAGGAGAGAAGCGGAGAGGTGGAGAACACAGGAGGGTTGGGAACACAGTGTGGGGCAGACGGCAGGAGGCGGGGAGGAGAAGGAAGAGGCGGGAAAACCCAGCGCGGGATTGTTGGGGACAACTGCTGGGCAATGGGTCGGAAGTTCTGTCCTGCGCGTTACGACCCGCACATTTGGAAAGCAATCAGCATCAGTCAAGCTATCGTCAGAGGAGGAGAGGGAGTGTCGGTCATGATGCACGCGTTGAGCTGCCTGGTCGAGTTACGTACAAAAAGAAGAAGTGAGAGGGGATATCAGTAGACGATGTTCTGCGGTAGCTGACGTATTGCAGGCACTTATGGTAGATGTTTGGCCGGTCAGTACCCAGTCTGCTTCGCGGCCATTGTCCTCGTAACCTGTCGGCTGTCGGCTTGGGCTAGGGTGGTGCCCTGTAGAGCCGCACCATCGGCTTGGGTGGTTGCTCTTTGTATGATACCTCTGGCATGTCGTTGCTTTGGAGGCTGTCGAGGAAGTGCTCGTACCGTGTCTGCTGTGAGCGGAGCCTGTCAATGTAGCTGTAGAAGGTTGGGTCTCTTGTGTTGTAAAGAGGCCATTCCTTTATTGCTTGGGGCATGACGGGCGTCATGGCCCCCGTTCCCCCCCCCTATGACGTAACGCTCCCCGCCCCCCAGTTCGCTCCGGGCACTGCCGCCGTGCGCATTGGGATCCGCGTAGGTGTCCGCGTAGGAATCTGCATAGATGTCTGGTCCGCAGGCGTCGTCGTCGTCGTCGTTCGTCGTCGTCGCTCGTGGTTCGTCGCTCGTCGCTCATCGTCGTCGTGCGCGCGGACGCGGCTGGAGCCTGTTTTTAAGTCCGGGTCGATGACGGCAATCATCTGGGGGGGAGGGGGTCGATGACGTCACGTTTCGCGCTGGCGGCGTTTGGGAATGGTTAGGAATGACGGAGGACGGGTAGCACGAACATGTAGGTGGCGATATGCACCACATGCTTGTGTACATCACAGTGCCCGCGTGCACCACAGCGCCTGTGTACACCACACCGCCGATGTACACCACAGCAGCCGCGTGCAACACAACGTCAGTTTGTGCCACCGTACCTGCGGGCACAGCAGCTCCTGCGTACACCACAGCGCTTCCGTACACCACATCAGCCGTGCGCAACACAGCACCAATGTACACCACATTGCTTGCGTGCATTGCAGTGCTTGTGTACGCCACTGCGCCTGTGTGTACCACATCAACCGTGTGCAGCACACCACCATTGTTTTGTATAGAATTTCAGAAGGAATCTTTGTGACAAAATTGAGCGCGTGT